GCGATTTCTTTTACTCAGACAGTCACTGAGCTTGTTCAAAAGGGTACGCCACGGTGACAGAATTAATTATATTTCGATAAATGCATTTATCGGGGCATAAATGAATGTATCATGATACATTGAAGTTACAGAATTTTTAAGTTAAAGCAGCACTGATTTACCTCAAATTTGCAAATACCCATGCAGCATGGGATTTTTAGTGACTCAATGGTAATGGCGATGACTGCTAAATCTCGACGGTACACTTGATTGTGTCCGTTAGATAAGAGTCCTTAAAGGAAGAAAGGAAAAACCTGACGGTATTTTAACTACCTGATCGATAACTCAGTCGCTACTTGATTTCTGAACCTTAATGTTTCTGATAGGTACTCCATGGTTATGTACCATGCCTTGATAGTCTTCAGTTGAATAGGACTGGTTAGAAACTGAACGTATCCTGCTGTTAGTCACCAGCGTAGGGTGAAAGTACTTCTAGATGGTTCGAAACTGAACGTATCCTGCTGTTAGTCACCAGCGTAGGGTGAAAGTACTTCTGGTACGTGATTTGATGATCACGTGCAGCTTGAATGGATCTATCAAGAAGCTTAGAAAAAACAAGAGGTAAGAAAAGAAAACTGCCGTTGCGAAACTTTCGGTTGAAGAAACGCTACAGAGTTACCTGACAGGCCCCTGAGCGTCTAGTTCGACCCACTTAGGGGATGCCCATATGGGCATCACATATGTGAAGGTTGTATAAGAAATTAGCAGCCACGGTGTAGAGGTTTTCAATTTCCCCACAATTATATACCCTTCAATCCCGAAGCATATATTATACTTAGTTCATTTTCTGTGCTTGGTTAAGAGTTCAGATTAGTAAGGCGGTTAACAAACGTCCATATTGTAGAGCATTTTATTTTACTCATTGATTTACTTACTTTTTGGAAGGTGTTCTACTGATATCATATAATGACCGTGTTGGATCCATATCTGAATCCCGTCTGTGACGTACTTTGTACTTCTAGTTGGGAAGTTATGTCGTATCACAGCGTCTGTATGGGCAAATGTCAAAAGCATTTATTAGGTTTGCTGATAATAAGACTGGCCGTCTTGCTACCGATGAAGGCTTCCTTGCCAGTAACACCCCTCCAGTTAATACTCGAAAGAATGTCTTCCGAAAACGTAATCATTTTATGTGCCGGGTGCAGTCTCCGGCCCTCGTCGCTACGGCGTTCGACAGCATTATCAACTACAAATATTTGACCAAGAAAGTTTATTTATTCAAGAGTTAATCATAGTAACCCAGACAGAACAGTTTGCGTTCCAGTTAATGGAACTCTGCAAGTTTTTGAACTAGTATGCTTCAAATCAGAGATCCCCAGCTGTTGACTGTTTTTATGGCCTCAAATGACAAGTCCATCCTGCGGTTCATATACTTCATTATACAGTTTAAGGGTTAAATGGATTATGGAAGATATTTGCAACTTTTGTTGCAACGCCTTGCTGATAATTATACCATCAGCTTCGTTCGGGGAGAAATTGGACTGAATATTACTGTTCTCCTTTTTCCATAATGAATGCATGTACAAATGGATTTAATACAATATACAACGTTATTGGGCTCCAAAGACCTTTTCGGATTGTTTCTAAACGAGTTAAAATTGTAAAACGTTGTATACCTTCCGGTCTACGGAGTCAGATAATTGCCAGTTTCTTTTAGCGGTTTCGAAACGGACATGTCATCCAAAAATGGTAGACTTCCAGATTTTTCAAGATCCATAGGACGTCAATGCTCACCGTCCATACCGTCAGTGATACTATTTAACAGTGCTACTGGCATACTGCAACCTGATTGTATGACACCGTAGAATTACGGCTTCCGTTTGCCATATCTTTCCATGGTTACTGTAGCAGCCTCCGATTGTAGCTCTGACTGCTTTTACAATACATTTTTCAGTTCTAATGCCTAGGCATATATTTATTCTAAAGTTCCAACATAATTTATACTTACCAACAATTCTATGCACATGGATTTCGTGCATCGCCGAATGTACTGGAGGATGTTGGCACAACTTCACCAACTTCTTAGTTTTGTTGTTAATCATATTAGGCCAAAACGTTCAATTTGTTCCAACCAACCAACTCTTGGGCACCACGGCAAAAAAAAACTGCATACGTCTGCAGTTGAAGGTATCATATGAATCAATTTTATATTTTTATATTTTCCTTCCTCAGTCAATAATGAAATGCCCCTTGGCGATGAAACGGTGACTCTCGAGTGTACATTTGAGCTAACTGAGTGAATCATAATACGCAACACGCATTGGGTATCAATATACCTTTTGAATATCGTAATATTCTGCCCATGAGAAGAATTGATCCCAATAATTCTTTTACGTATCAAAATACGTGCAGTAGTAGTCCAACCCAACACTATAACTCGGAATTAAATCAGAACACAGCACTCAATAACGAAATCAAACTTTAATAAGCGGAAAGCTGCAGTGTACAAGGATATTGTGTTCAATAAAACAAACAAGTTCATAGATTATATGCAAGTATCACAGTATATATTCATATGAACCTATGTCGATGAATCTTCATCCCCACCAGCATACCGTTGCACTTTTCGCTCCCAGTTCACTGCGCCATTCTTACTTTATGCTCCGGGTTCACTATACATTTTGTATTTTACCAAATAACCGGATATAGTTGCAATGTGTAAGATATACTTTTTTACTATTGATACAAACTAGAATGCGCTCAGAAAATATATATTAGAAAATAATCCATCATTCTGTGTATGATTTTGTGGGGAAGACCGACATAAATCAGTGCCTTATGTGAAATGACCTCCGGGAACATGTTGCACAGAGTTGCGTTACTGTTTGCTCCAACCTACTGCTATATTAATTTGAACTGTGATCAGAGTTTGGGATTTTAAAAATTGTAAGTTATTCAGGTTAAAATTTCAGGTGGTGACAAAGGTAAAAAAATGTCTACCAAAGTTCTCTGTCTTAGAGTACTCAATCCGCAATCCCGCCGCGATCTAAGCGCGCTTTTAGTTGTATAAGTACCCAACAGATTCTTTGAGGAGCGCTGGTGTAACAAAGGACGCTTGAACACGTCTTGTCTGTAGATCATTGAGAATAACTATATTGAGGCTAGTCAGAAATGATGCACTGTGACTTACGCCGCTAAAAAGACAATAAATAATTTAGCTAATTCAAACAAACTGTGAGTTATTACCGCTACTATATTTTATTGAAGAATGAGCAAGTCTTAATACGAAATCTACGATGGCAAAATTCTAACTGCAAAAGTTTGTGCGCTGTACTGTGAGTTAGGACGTTACAAAGGAGCTCTATTGGATTTATCTATGAAGAAAGGTCCTAGTAGGAATAGATTTAGTACTAAAATTGGACTGTGGATACCGGAGAAGTTCCGGTTTGACCCGAAAAAGAATGCAACCGTCCGGTTGTTTTGGCAGGGCACGGAGCAGCTTGAATATCAATAATTCTACTGCAATCATCCTGCTGTACAGGGCTTAATTATGGAATTTTATAACTACTTTCACTATTAATAAAACCGGGTATACATATCCAAATATGGAAACCTCAAGACTAAATCACAAAATTTACATCTTAATCACATTTTGCATACCTTTTTGTATTTGAATAAATAGTGCTCAGTGTCCCCAAGAGGATAAAAAAAGAGGAAACGGATTGTCCTACTTTTCTGTCTTGTTAACGATTGACAATAAACCATGAGTGAGGATGGGGTCACAATAAATTTTAGTACAATGGTAAATGCCACAAAAAACCAGAGGTTGAAATAAGGTCGTCATTATCGAATTAACTTATGCCTTATGCAATCACATCAAGGCAATTCACAGGACTTGCGGCTTTAGCCATAGTTAGCTTAGATTCTTTCAATAGTGATCCAATGACTTCTACTGCGATTTGACTGGCATTTAATCTAACAGCTGTTTAAGGAGTGCTGTAGGTCCTGAAAAGGAGATGAAATGCGAGATTTTCCTCAGGTAATCAATAGTCTAAACCATTTGACAGGTGCCATAATTCAGCCAATCAAACCTCGTCATAAGAACTCCACAAAGACTGCGGCAACTTGAGATAGTTATTTTTATGTGTTGATTGATGCAAAAAATGGTGCAGGATGCTTAAGAGAAGTGGATAAATCACATATGACCAATAGCTTTATTCATACCACCGGATGCATTTTCAGCTCAGTGTGCACCATGGTTATTTATCATGGCATACATTCACACGAAAAAATAGTCGTAAGAAGCATCGTGAATCAGAAGTAGCCTGATGGTGGGAAAATGAATATGATTTACCTTCGGAATTGTAGGGGTTGCCTCTGACTGATACTTTCTGTGAGAGAACTCCAGAAAAATATAAGAACAAAAGAACAGTATTCAGTGAACCAAGCATAGAACTTGATAATTATCTGGTTATGGAGGTGAGCACACGTTATTGGAGTTCTATGTGTGACGAATGAGATCTTGACAAGTAAAAATGTTGAAATATTTTGAGGAACACGCTGTACGAACGGTCTGCTTGCAAGCATAAAGTATAGAATAATTGCATTAAACCGAAAATAGCCGTTATCCATTTAAGAGTTAGAAGGCAAAACCCTTCAATTCAGAGTTGTTAATAATAGATAGAGAAATTGAGCTGCGAAACGGAAGCCACCTGAAGATTTGGAGGCGACAGTGACCTTTTTGGTGTACCTCAAAGTGAGCACCACATTTCTTTTAAATGTTGTTCAATAGCAGTGATTCAGTGAATGCTCCTACCTATTTGACCATCCAACGATTCCTTCCGTAACTTTTTGCATCATTCTGGATGATAGTTCCCTTTAACTTTTGAGGTCATCCACAAACAGAAAATGTTTTGCACTTTAAAATCACACAGATCAATAATAGTGGAAGGCTCAGAACAGAACGCCATGGAAACCCACCACAGATGAAGTTCATAGGGATAAAATACATCAGTGCGGTAACTCCTCCAAATTACAGCATGCTACTTGAATATAGCAAAAATGTCGAAAACGAAAAGCACTTATCTTTTACACATAGCAAAGAATCAAATCGAAGTTTATGCAAAAATCACGCCTATGGAGTTGGTTCAGTGTAGAAGTAGTGTATCCTTTTGCTTTTGTTATTGGGTATAATAGCTGGTTGTGGTGTTAGAAGTAAACAAAGAATTATTTTAGTTTGCTAAGGATGAATGAAATCCTTGATGAAGTTAATTCCACAGACTTTTCAACAGATTGGTGAATAAAATGACCTAAGTATTTCCTGACCACTTTCATTCACAGATTCAATAATACGAAAGGAAGTGAACTATAAAAAGTAAATGACTGACTAAATGGTTCTCTGGTAATATATTTCAATAAAATCATCTGTTTGTGTGCCACTGTTTAAGACTTTCAGCGCCTTTAATTATCAATCATACTGATCTCGTGCTGTCCCTCCGGGAAAAATGCTGTAGTATATATCATCAAGTCCACCGACACAAATGTGGTCAAAGTTTGATCACTACAAAAGTGCATGGTTAATGATTGTAAAACCTGAAACTGAAACCCTTAACCCTGTTTCGTTCACCATCTAGAGAGGACGTCCATTTAGAGGCATGTGCAGCACATGCGTGGTTAGCCTAACTTATGAATTTGAAGAGTGGGCCTCGATAAGAACTAGCGCTTAACCAAAACTCTGCACTCTCCTTAGGAATCGCTTAACAAAACGTTTTATCTCGTGTCAACGGCTTTGACGTTTGGAATGAGAAAGTTTAAGTGACGATTAGATGACACCAGACACAAACGAACAAATAAGGATACACAGAGTGTGCGGTTGTTTGGCAGGTATTATGTTCTCACTGCTCATTGATCCATTTGGTAAACAACCATTTTCGTCTCTCCTGTTTGTCCATTTGGTAAAAGATCCACTCAGCATGCCGTTAGTATTTCTCTTGACAGCTGGGTTAAAACAAAACTCATTGATAGGTGTACTTTGGTAGATCACAGAACTTTTTAGATGTAGTGCATGTTTTACCCACTTAAAAAGTGCTGACCTTATTCAAAAGAGACTGGTCCCATAAATTTCACCTTTGAGGACTTCACTGGCTTACATTTTTCATCACTTTTACTCTCACTCCCACAGCTGGGGCTGTCATTAGAAGACCTTGAAGAATTTGAGTCAGATGCTGGTCTTGGAAATGGCGGATTGGGCCGACTGGCTGCTTGTTTTCTAGATTCGATGGTTAACTTGAATTTAGCTGCAACTGGCTACGGAATTCGCTATGACTATGGAGTTTTTGAACAGACTCTTCGAGATGGATGGCAGGTAAATGAATATTTTTATTTTTTATTTAGTCAAAATTCGCTCTATCGCATATGCACACACTCCGGTTTCAGACTAGAATAGGCAATATTACGTAAAAGATCTAGCATATATATGCTACATCTTTTATGTATTATTATCTAATATTCCAAAACAACTGAGGTGATGCATTTTCATGCGTGCATCAACCTACCTCTGCAAACGGTTCTTAGAACAATGGTTTTTAAGGTGATGAAGTTTGAAAGTTTTTGAAAAGGGTAACCCTTACAGAAAATACCTTCTTGGATTCCCTCAAAGTTAATCTTATAATAGATATAATTAGAGCGAAGTGAGAAACGCATTTCAGTTTGGCATACCTCAGCTCTACCGACTGTCAAAACTGATTCGACATCCCGTCTTTACGGTATTGTGGAAACAGCGTCTATGGTTGTTATGGTCGCAAAAACAAAAAAAATCATTGAGAAGATGTAGTGCTGAACGTTTTCTTCAAGTAGCAATGTTGTGATATTATATTTTTTTATTACACACCCAAGTGTGATGAACAGCAGACAGAGCGAACCCCGTAGTCACGAGGACCTGCTGTTCAGTGGTGGAGACCGGCAACCTTAGCCTCGGAGCTTGGAGTGGTGAGCCGCATAAGGCCCCGATAGGTTAGGCGTGGTATTGAACCGGACGACGGCAGAGATGCCTACCACCAAACTCGGGTGGCGGTGGCGCGGCTCCAAACTCGGACCTCGAGTCTAAAGCACGCCGGTGAATAGAATATCGTAATAGAAAACATAAATCAAATTTTGATTCACTCTCATGTGGTGCGCTTTATCTGAGAAAAAATTATCTGGAATGCTTGTCACTCAGGATGAGTTACAAGAAAAATGGTCTGTGAAAGTCCTAAAATTGCCTCAAAATTAATTCTTTGAAGATTTCCTTTGTAGATGGACTTTTATCAAAATTTAGGAGCTTACTTTAGTGATTATTTTTTAAAGATAGACCTTGTTTGCTATAGAAACTGTTCGTTCAACTGTTTTTCGGGAAGTTTCAGCAAGTGCCAAAACTCTATTATTTTGAATGCGAATTTGTTGGATAGTTTTTCAATAAACAAATATACATTCTCACATCTGTCCGAGTCCAGACTGTATCAAACAAATCACGGTATAAAAATCTTTATGAAAAGGAGAAGCTCCGTAGTTTGCTCGGACGCGCCACGCTACTAGGTTGCCCAGGCCAAAGCAGATTAATTTTATCGGAGAATTCCGAGCCGGAGCTTTTGACTAACCAAAGCCCAATCACAATGCAGCGGGACGGTGTGGGAAAACAGTAATCCATTGGGGCCCGGTGTTCAGTTCATCGGATTAGTCTACTACTGATAAAGACATTGCACTAAGTATCAGGATATCCAGACAACCATCGCAGCATTTTACTCCTTATTTTTCTGCAACAGAGCGTGCCATCTGCATGTCATCTAGATGATTTTCAAATGTATGGTTAATCGGTAAACAGGTTTCCAGGTACGAGAATTAGAATCATCATCTTTGGACAAATTTTCTGACGGCCAGTCAAATCCATGTTCGAGGACACAACTATATGTCCAGTTGTCGTAGATGGGCGTTACTATGCATCATTTCCGCAATACTGCCTTCATACGTTCTCCTTGCGACACGGGCTGTTGAGTAAATTTGACAGTCGGCTGAGCTGAGGTGTGCCACACTGAATTATGTTGCTAACTCCTCTGGAATCCTAATTGTCAGAAAGTCAACTACAAATTGCAGCATGATAAAGTATATTCAGTCCTAATGAATTGGTTGATAAAATGAACTATTTAAAATCAAACCCTTAACGATTGTAAACAGTTTCACATTATTATTCTCTCTGGGAGAGATAATGTTCTGCTTCATAAATCCTCATTTCCCTTCGTTCAGGTCGAGGAGCCGGACGATTGGTTACGCTACGGTAACCCCTGGGAACGGCAGCGACAAGAGTTGGCAACCCCTGTGCATTTTTACGGTCGTGTAGAAGTGGATAGTGAGGGCAGAAGAAGATGGGTCGACTGTCAGACGCTGTTCGCGGTGCCTTACGATACTCCAGTTCCCGGCTACTTGACCAACACCTGCAACACCTTGCGTCTATGGGCGTGTCGTGCACCCCGCAATTTTGATTTTTCAATTTTCAATACTGGAGACTATATTAATGTAAGTTCAATAGGCACGATAAGGGTGACCCTTGGTTTTTGTTTTTATATTTAAAGCACACATTTTTTTATTGGCGCAAGTACTTAGAAGTTTTCAAATTTATTATTTTCCTGATGAATGGCACAAACAGAGTGGGACGTAACATGAGTTGACTTACATATTTGTGTATACTTGCTTTGAACTCCTGTTATGTAGTTCCGTCACGAGTTTGATGTTAGCGGGGACGGCTGTTTACTTTCTGCCTAAAAGTCGTATCGGCCAAATCGGGTAGGAATGAACCCGTCACCAAATGCCCAAGAGTTTGTGAACCGACCATTTCCCTCGTACAAGCAGGCATATGCCTGAGCGTTTGTATTTTTCGTGTATGGCTAAAAATTGATATTAGTTTATGGTGATCAACACAAAGCTAGTGTAAATAAAGATCATGGACCGTCTATTTTTGTACATGCAGTCTAGGCGAACGGGAATAGACTCTCCTGATCAAATGATAATTTTTGTCATGATAACTTATTTGTCCTGATGAAAGAGTAATATAGAAAATTACAAGATACATATATATTTCCCAAGAGCAATCGTTATATATAGAGTACATCAAGCGTGAACTGAAAAGCTGTCAGGTTTTACAAGCAGTCAGGTTGTTAAAGTGTCCAACCGAATCATGACCACGGAGGTTAGTGCTGAGATGGGCGAGGTGCGATGCTCGCAACAAGCTCGCAAAGATGAGTTGTGTTATATCATGCAAATGAAAAATGATAAACAGTCCGATCAGCTGCCCGGTGGTAGAGTGGATAGCATGCTTGCGTTCTGTCTGTGGGGGCCCGGGTTCGTTCCCCAGCTGCGTCGATGGATTCACAATGCTAATGAGATCTAAACAGGTCGAAACAATTATACAATGCTTCCTAGCTCTTCAGTTCACGCTTTATTTGCTCTATACGCGGTGAATTTCCTTATGAAATTGAATAAAATCCTCCATAACTCTCATATATATA